GAAGTCCCCCGGGGGGAGGGGGTGAAGTCCCCCGGGGGGGGGGTGAAGTCCCCCGGGGGGAGGGGGGTGAAGTCCCCCGGGGGGGGGGGTGAAGTTCCCCGGGGAGGGGGTGAAGTTCCCCCGGGGGGGGGGGTGAAGGCCCCCGGGGGGGGGGGTGAAGGCCCCCGGGGGGGGGGTGAAGTTCCCCGGGGAGGGGGTGTGAAGTCCCCCGGGGGGGGGGTGAAGGCCCCCTCGGCGCGGAGCCCCGGGCCGGCGGTGCTCCGGGGCGGGCGGTGAGCTCGGGGGCACCGCGGCGCCCCGGGGAGGAGGTTGGACCCCGGGGGACGTGGAACCGTCGGGGGACCCCCCGCCGCCTCCCGTCCCCCACGGACGGCAGCGGGGGGGGGGGGGGACACACGGACACCCAGCAGCGCCGGCTCATCTCCTCCCGAGCGTGGAGGGAGCAAAACGACTCGTGGGCCCAGCAGCGGCCCACGGGCAGTAAGGTGGGGGCTCCGTGGACTTTGGACACAGCGCCCACCGGCGAGACTCGGGGACACGGGGGGGGGGGGGTGACCCGGTTGGGCGCCCAGGACCGCAGAGCGGCTGCTTCGAAAATCCTGCAGCGACGGGGACCACAGCGGGGAGAGTTCTGCCGGCCTGAAGGAGGAGATGATTTCTCCCCCAGTCTTCCCCTCCTGCGTTGCCTACCCTCAGCAAAGATTATTTCCGCAGACATTGCCCGCAGTTATCCAGGATTCGGCCGATGTCTGACGGGCTGATTGCTAAGCCGTGGAAAAACACACGCGTGAGTCCAACACCCTTTCCCAGCCGTGCCTGGCCCGACCGCGGCAGCACTGTTTGGGGTCTGATCCATGGAACAAAACCAGTATCCTAAATCCAGGGAAGGAGACGCTACAGAAGCATGGAGAGCATCCAGAAGCTTATCCCCACTATGCAGCTCACCACTTCCACGCTGCACTGTCGCTACTGAAAGACTTTAATCGGCGTGAACAACAGCGAGAGAAGAATAATGTTTTCGACATCCCCTACAGTTTAGGATAGCAGCAATATTTAGTATGAATTTCTCTGCTCGTCAAGCTAGCTACTCAAAATGATGACAGAAACTTGAGAGAAAAAGAAAAAGAAGAGAAAGGAAAGATGGAGTTCCACAGCATATCCCTCTTGCCTGGCAGTCACCACTTGTGGCTTCATTTCATTTCTGGACTGGGTGGGTGTCTCTCTCTCTCTCTCTCTCTCTCAAAAAAAGAAAAAAAAGAAAAAAAAATCTTTGGTTAAAGAAACAAAACAGGTTTATCACCCTTCAAGTTTGCTAATGGAATTGCTTTCAAACCAAATTACAAGACATTATCCCTTGAAAGTATAAAAAAGGAATAATGTCACAGACAGAAGCGTCCCTTTCTTGGAATGTTTTCTGTATTATGAAGAAACTACTAGAGAAATAGAGAGAGAGAGACTTGCCAAGGCCCAACTTGCTGGGTGCAAGCAGGTACAACGCTGCCGAGGAAGATGCAATTGCATTTGTCCTCCCAAATGACTGGGTTTGGCCCAGCCTGCAGTGAGAAGCGCCTCCATTTGGGTTTTCCTGTTCTGCTCATGTTAACAGTTCTCTCCCCTCTCCTGCATTCTGGTTTCACAGCAGGAATCTGAACATCCACCTCTGAGAAGAGGCGGCATCCGTGCCTTCCTTCTGCTTCCCGCACGGGAAGAGCGCAAGACGAGGTGATGAAGGGGACTGCGTTTTCACTGTGCCAACCACAAGCCACCCATAAAACTTCCAGCATCTAAACATTCACCTCCCCTCTCAAGTTGCCATGCCGTTTACCCCACGCACATGAAGAACACCAACCCAACCCAAACCCGCCAATCCCCTTCCCTCTCCAAAGGACTTTGCGAGTAAACCAAGCCGGCTGTTTTATGTATGTGTCAGCGACAGCATGCAAAGACTTTGCTTCCTCGGCTGAAACGACCTTGTTTCCCGTGACCGTCCGTACCGCACCCTTCTCCACGCTGTGCCTTCAGTGCAGGTGTGAGGGAGGAGGTGTTGCTCAGCTCCCCCCTAACCACCAGAAGACAGAGCTCTCATGCAGCGTTGCACCGTCAAAGCAACTCGACGGCCGCGCTGTCCATCTGTCGCGCCCACAGCGTCCCATCCCCACAAGCATCTGACCACCTACGGCCGGCAGCTCAGCAGCTCCAGGGCGGACAACGCGAACCGCGGCTCCTCCGAGAGGCACCGTGCCCCTTCGCACTGCCAGCCTGTGCCCTTGGAACGGCTCCACCGCCAAACGCCCCCCGAAATCAGAGCAGGTCAGATGGGTACACAGGGAAAATACAATTAACACACGCAAGACATTACTGCCATTGAGATTGCAACCTCCCATGCTTCACCGGTCCTAGGCCAAAGGAGCGCATAAACAAGTAATTAAGCTGGAAGGGTTGAAGTCTGTTCGTTAGCAAAGCACTCAAGTGCATGATTAACTTTAAGTCTCTGCTGAAGTCCTATGGAGTTTAAATTCAGTCACTGCTTCCCCCCATTCTAACAGAGCAGGCAATGCAAATGAAAACATAAATATTTAAACTCTAGCAACCAGAATAGCTTAATAAAATTCCGCAACAAATAATTATAAAAGAAGGGAAAATCCACATTAGGGACGAGAAAAAAAAAAAAAAAAAAAGAAGCAAACCAAGCATCTTGGCCCTGAGGACACCTGATTAATCTTCAGTGAGAGTGAAAGAGCAGGTGAGGAACCCTGCCCTGTCTGCGGCCGTGCTTTACCCGGCTAACGCCGTCCGTGCGCCCCAGTGTCCTTTATCCAGTGCGGGACTGGGACCCCCCGCCGCGGCTCGTCCCACAGCCCTCCTTCCCCAGAGCCATCGACCTGCCTGCTGCTTTCGGAAAACCAAACCCCTAACGTGCAGCGTGGCCTCGGGTTCATCGAAAGGGCCCGGCGATCGTGGCCCGGAGCACTAACAGATCCCGATCTCACACAAAGGTCCTATCGAACGGAAGGGACAGTGAGCCGGATCCCAGGACACCAGGGTCCTTACCTGCCTCTGATCCAGCTCTCCTGACAGATCCTTACGTTAGCTGCCGCTTGGTTTGGGCCTCTGAATGAATGTTTCTGGACTCATTCTGAAATGCAGATGTGACCCGGAGGATAACTCCTGTCCCTCAAGGCTGTAACCGCTCTCACGGAGCGGCCCCGCTCCCCCCAGGTTAGCGGCAGGGTTTTCATCCTCGGGACAATCTCGTTTCCCCTTCCTCCTGCAGTTTTCACAAACACAGCAACCCTTCCGATGCCACTGATGAAGAGAAATAAAATTAACAACAATAACAACGATACTAAGAGAAAAAAAAAAAAAAAACCAAAAAAAAACAAACACAAAGATTAAGGAATGCGTGTGCAATTAAAACCCAGAGTAAAATATAATAATAATAAAATAATAATCATAATCATAACAACCATACAATAAAATAACATTATCTTTCCTTTTCATGACACAAGCAGCATGACGCTCTCGCTCCCGAACTGGTGGGAGAGGAGAGGAATGCAACGGAGAGAGCAGGGCTTTGTTTTCCTGCCTCGGACAAAAGGGGACGTGCTGTCTTTCCGAAGGAAGGGGTAGGGTAAGGTGCATAGGCTGCTGGAAGATCGCATCTTCATCTACGGTATACTGAGCTGGAATGAAGGACAGGCAGGAGAAGAAAAGTGTGCAAGGGCAGCCCAGGAACCAGCGCTGGCAACCAGGGAGGTTATTTGGTGGTTTGCCAGAAGACAACAGCCTTGTTGAACAGCCTATGCATAGCGGGATCCCTTCTTCCAGGCCAGCCAAGCACTTACTGCAAGACAATGTATTTGTGCTCGTCTTTCTGTCAGCTTTTCCCACCTGAGAGAGCCTCCTTCTTCACTGCCACCCGGGGAACCCATCCCTCGCCACCCTGCTGATGAACCTGCTATTTTCCAGCATCTTGTGAAATAATACCTGAATGCTTCACGCTCTAGTGACAGGTAAGATTGGAACTGAGCAGCCACGTAGACTTCAGCTTTCATGGAAACGTCTTTTCAAACTCTCTCCTTCCCTCTGGCCTTCTCCCCCAGGCCATCCACAGGCACGGGTACTCTCGAGACACTTGCAAATACTGATGGGCCGGTAAAACTGCCATTGCCAGCGAAACTCCCCTCTGAGCCAAACCCAACCGCAGGAGAGGTTTCTCTCTTTAGAAACCTGTTGGAAAACACGACGGCCATGGAGCGTTCCTTGGTGCGGAGGACGCACAGAACCGCTGTGCTCTCCAGTTCCAGGGCCACGCTGCCGCCGGCGGCAATCTTTCGGGGTGTGGGCGAGGAAGGGGGAGGGAAAGCGCACCCCGTCACACCTACGTGAGAGTGCATAAGGCCCGACGTATCACAATACTCTTTTCACTTAAGAAACCTGAGTTTGACTCTCTCAATCGGGTTTTCTCGTGCTTGCTTTAGGGACTCCAGCCCTTTCCTGACCCCCCTCCCATTGACAGACGCAGTGAGAGATGTTGGCAGCAACTAGTGTTTCCCCCTTTCACGGGTTAAAGTTTTGTTCCCAATTCAGACGCACGACCAGGACAACCTGACAACGCGGGGGGGACGCTGCCCTCCCACTCCACCGAGGATGTCGGTAAACAGCAGAATGAGAATTCAGTTTCCAGGGAGAAAACCTGCTATTTCAACAGGACAGACACAGACCAGTCAACAAATGAATCCCCAGACCCTCTGGGAGTCACCCGGGGTCTCGCAACTGACCCGGTCACTTCCAGCCCATCCAGTGCTCGACAAAACACCCAGCTACATGCACTTCCAACCCCGATGAGCCTCCCCAACACCTTGCCAAGTGAGCTAAGATTGATGACGTGGGAAAAAAATAACCAACACCACCAGCAGAAGAAGAAAACCGGCAATAACAACCCCCCCCCCCCCCAAAAAAAAAAAAAAAAAAAAAAAAAAGAAAAAGAGCTGAGAGTAAATTCCGACTAGCCTCAGTCAGTTTCTAGGAGTACCAGTGGAAGTAAACCCTTAAACCGCGTCTGTAGTTCGGTAAGGCACTACGAGGGAATGATGTAAAACTAAGACTGTGACAGTTGTAATGGCTGTGCCGAGGAACACACCACAGAGAGAAGGCAGCATCTGCACGCACACGCCCACACGCGCGCACACGCACACACACGAACATACCTGGACAATCACATTTGTTACATGCCTATGTTATATCACTTTTCTTTGTGCAATCACATTGAGGAATAGTCTATTGGTATCGTTGAAGTTCAACACAAAATAGTAAAAAGGGCGCATGACCTGTATAGTGCTACATTCTACCAGGGGGTGGGGGTGGGGGGCAGCTAAAATGTCTTCTCCTATACTAAAACGGCTAGGGATTGAAAAGGAAATAAAATCAAATGAAACGCAACTGAAATCCAACATACATTATTAGAGATCTCGTTTAGGAATAGCATTTCTCAGGGATTTATCCAGTGTGTTCAAGGAAAGGGAGAAACATCCCCATTGCTTCTGCTCTCGACCAGTGCTGCAGGGCCTGTTTTGCCCAGGCGTGCTTAAGTGTAGCGGTGCTAGATCCGAATTTAGAGCACTGGGACATTTTCTCCTCCTCCCTCAGCCTCCCTTACCCACTTCCTATTTCCAGAAAAAAAAAAAAAAAAAAAAACAACCAACCCAAAACCTCACGTATGCTTTGGGATATGAAGACCACTGCAAAGATGGGGTATAAACCCTTTGAAATGCTGGATAAATCCCTAATCCATACACCTATTGGATTAAAAACCTAATGGATTTCATTTTAGGTGTTCTGGACAACAAATTTTCTAAATGTAGCTCACTATTGGATGAAAAGAACCTTTAAAAGTCTGTTGGTGAAGTTCTCCGAAAGACAGGACCCACTGGAGGGTCCTTCTGCTTCTCTCTCTCTAGTTTGGTGCAGAATGGTTGGGTTTTTTGTGGTTTGTTTTATTTTTTTCTGTTCTTTTTTTTTTTCCCCGTTTTCTTTTTTTTTTTTTTTTTTTTTTTTTTTTTTTTTTTAAATAAAAAGTGTAGAATCGGTTCTCCCCCTTCTTCGCTCCATTCCGCTTCTTCCGCAAAGTCTCCTTCGTTCAAGTTTCACAAGAGCCTCCCGTTGCATTGTCGGTCTGTCGCGTCCTTCGGTACAAAAGCGGCCGCCTCGCTCCCCCGGGACGGGTGCGCCTCTCGCTCCGTGTTCCAGTGTTTAGATGTAAGGGTACTGGTTGACCTTGGTGGGGCTCAGTGGGTATCCAGTGTAGACTGTGGAGGCTGGAGAAGCACTGATATAGGTCTGATGGGCAAACTGAGCCTGGTACTGGCTCGGGTGGATGGTGGGCGAGGGCAGAACCCGCGGGCCCATGCTGACGGGGACCTGGTGGACGATGCTGGCGGGGTAGGTGGGGTGCTGCACGGCGTGCCGCGCCGACCCTTGGGAGGCCACCAGGTGCGCGACGGTGCCCGTGGAGCCCAGCGCGGCCGGGGCGGTGTATGTGTAGAGGTGGGGCTGGGCGGGCAGGTGAGCGGCGGCAGCCGCGGCCAAGTGAGGATGAACCGTCCCGTGGCTGGGACTGTTGTGCGGGAAAGAGTACGGGGCCTGAGCTATCGTTGGGGTGATGTAGGCTTGCTGTCTCCGGTGACTCCCTGCGCGATCGGTCGAGATGTGCTGCTGGGCCTGGATAAAGACAGCAACAGTGATAAGCAGTTACAAGACAAGAGACGGCTTCTCTACCTCCTCGGTGGTGCCCGGGAGCCTCCCCGTGGCACCAGGACGGCCCCAGGAAAGTCCCTCGTGCTCCTCCTGACACCCTCAACATCACCACAGTCTTCCCTTAGAAACGGGTGCGGGCAGAGGGTCCCTCCCAAGCCTCGGAGGACCCCGCAGCTTCATACCTTCACCAAAACGGCCCCCAAAAGGACAGCGGAGTCCCCCGGCTCGAGCCACGACCTGTGCTGGCACAGCTACCACAGAGACCCGGCCTTGGATGCCCGGCTCCTAAAAACAGTCTTCCGCAAGTCCGGTTGCTCACACAAGACGTGGCATTTGTTAGTGAGAACTCTGCTGATGAAACGGGGTGCGCTGACAGCTCAGGGGAATGAAGTTTTCTAACTAAAGCTGTAGCAGGCGATTTATTTTTGCTCAGTTTGGGTCCTTTGCGGTTATCATCTCCTCAGTTAGCAAAAATAACTTTTTTATTTTTTAAAGATAAAACCCTCAGCCCGATCAGATCCTGCAGGCACCTGGTACCCTCATGTAATCAGCCAGAATTACCTGAGCACGGGCAACCTCTTGCAGTGGGACAGGAGCAATGCACTCTTCCATGAATTTTCTAAGTTTTTCTTTCGCATTGCAGAATAATGTCAAGGAGTTTTCCCAGTCATTTGTAGTCAGAGTATTAAATAACCAATAAAGTAGGAATCAGAAGGCAAGAAGTGCAATGCTCCATGTTATTTCCTTCTATTCTCCCAAGCCCTCTCATCCTCTTTGTAAGCACTCCCCACGCTGTCGTTGTGGTCGGAAATGCAGCAGCCACACTCTTCCTCCACTCTTGGAGACAGCGTCTCGCCCACTTTCTCCATTTTCACTCACTTTTATTTCAAGTTTGTTTAAGTTTTTAAACTCCAACTACATTTTGAGGGGGAGGGGAACGTTCTTCTCCCCCGCATTATTAAAAAAAAAAAAATAAAAAATAATCCAGTTCTAGTTCTGCTTGTATCCAGCTCTGGATGCAAACCAGCACTGTCCTCTCAGCTCTCCAGACCTTCTCCTCTTGAAAGGTTGGTACCTGTGCTGTAACCTCCCTACTCTCTTTACTTCACCTCGGGGGAGAGGGAGGCCCCTGGTGCAGTATGTGAAAAGGGCGCTACTCACCGGAGCTCCTGGGGAGCTCCCCGGGGTGATTTGATCACAGACTATGAAACACCTTGGGAACTGGGAGTAACGGGATTTGCCCAGCTCTCAGCCCAGGATCGCCGACAGGATGATCAAACCGCACTACATGAGGTCACAGGTATGCACAGAGGCTCTGCTTTGCCTTGTCGCGTCTGATGGGGACTTCCCTCCCAGTCCTGCAGCCGGGCTGAGGCACCCCCTTCACTTGGAAGATGCTCTCCTCACGGTTACCTACAGCTAAGGAGAATTCAGTCCTGCTGCACTCTGTTGTGGCTGAGCCACTGCACCTTCCCTCTCTCGTTATTCCCACTCACGCTGCCGGACCGCCTGACTTCAAAACATTACGGCGAGAGTACCGCCAGCCCACTCAGGGGTGGGACCTGCGCTGCCCCTGCTGCCCCAGCTGGAAGATCAAGGTCTGCAGGGAAGTTGCAACAAGCCGACCAAACTCAGCGTGGGGCCCAACCATCACCAGAGTGGAACGGGACAGCCCCCGCGGGAGGAGCGCTAGGTAACAGCTGGACGATGCACCACCAACATCTGTCTCGGTTGACTTACCTGACTTAGATTAAGAGGCTGCTGCTGCTGGAAATGTGCTCCTGGTCGCTGCTGCCTATAGGCAACGGCTCCAGACGAGCTCCCTGAAGAGTGACCGCTGGTGGAGGTCACGGTGCTGGAGGACTTGGACTTGTAGGAGGATGAGTGGTGACTGGTGGTGACTGTGCCAGGAAAGGAAACACATTTGTAGCTTACATCACATTCTTTAATTGCTCACCCTACCTTTTCCTCACTGAAATCTCCTCCAGAGTGCCTTTTGGGAGGAGACATACAACAGAAGCAGGATAAGAAAACGTTTTCTCTTAATTAACAGAATACCTCAGCAGGGCTTCATATACATGGCCAGCCTGTTATCCTAGAGGCAGACAAGCCGGCTCAGTATCTGGACCCAAACCAGGCCCAGAGAGGGCTTTATAGATCCTTCAGAAGCGTGAGAAACTGTTCTGCCAGCAGAACTGTACGATGCAGGTACAAATCCCAAGGAGCGGAAGGAAAGTATAGTGTGCACAGCACAAAAAAGCCCTGGCTTGGCTGACCTCACGGTGAGTAGGGAGGGCGGGAGAAGGAGCTAGTGGGGAGCCTCACCCTCTGAGCCTTTGTGTTCACCAGCAGTGTGTCAAAAGAAAGGACTGCCAAGTAGCTCAAAGCCAACTGCTTCGGGCCAGACTTCCACCATAAGCCCCTTTTCAACACATCGTACTATCTAGCACTGCGGCAGCTCTGGATCAGCAAACCTCATCAGTCCACAAGGAAGATCCTGGGGAAATGTTCTTCCCAGAAACGTCAACAAGTTTGGATGAAAATGCACGTGTGTTCTCAACCTCTTACCCGCTTTAAAATAAACCTATGGAAAGGCAAGGCAGCAAAGGTTCACACTTGCATTTGGGAGCCTCTCATGTCAAATGTTGAGCTAAAGGCTGCATTCTGTTCTTGGGTCTGTACAGAAGTAACTGGGACCGACCCTCGCCCCTGTGACTCCTGCGTGTACCAGGGCACATAAATAATGCAATATGGCTCCCAAGAACAGATGTGTCACTTGAGAGAAGGGCAGGAGCATGGCTTCTTTGGAAAACAAAACAAACAAACAAACAAAATGAAACCGAACAATGAGATTCTTCCAAGATAAATCATTTATTTCTGACTAATTTTCTTGACGGAAGAGGTGCAATTTACCTGGTGCCAGGCTATCACACTCTACCAACACCTCACTGGCCTGGGTTTTCAGTGGTGGCACGATGATCGTTCGGGGGTTCCCACTGCAGTGAGTCTCTGGAACCCCTTTGGTGTCGTAGGTGTTCCCGTTATTCTGCCCTGCGCGATGCTGCACGGCGTAAGGGCTGTTGTTGCTGGAGGAATCGGAGTAGGGGGAGTCATGCACGGTGACACAGCTGATGACGTTCTTCCTTTGCTTGGACAAGGTGCTGAAACACAAGCACACAAGTGGAGGGAGTGAATGGGCAGCGACCGACTCGCAAGCCACCGAAAGGCTCTGCCCGTGGCAAACCAGCTCTGTAAAGGCAAAGCGCGCCCTCCAGTCCTCCGCCAGACAGGTGCTGCTTAAGCCGAATCCCAGGCTTCAAAACTCACTCGCTGCTATTCCAGGGAAGCCTTCACGGAGGTCAAGGAGTGAGTAAGACACTGGGGATAGATCTTATATTCGCACTGCTTAGAATAGCACTGAACCAGACTGCCAGATTTATTTTCAGACTGCTTTTTATGTATGTGTGCTGTAGAAGCCCAGCAGTTATACTATGCTTTGTTGCAAGTCTCACCACCCACACAAAAACGTGGCGGTTTCTCCTAGCCTTCCAGCAATGATTTAATAATAGATGCTATGACTTTTCATGCTTAAATCCCATGAATCTACAAAACACACTCCATTCTATTTACTAATATGGTACAATGGGCATATATTCTCAGTGAGCATTTGAAACTGAGGAATGAACGACAAAAAAATGAGGGAAGCGTGTAATGCTTCTGTTTTTTGGTTTTTTTTTTTTTTTTTTTTTTTTTTTTCTCTGAATAGTCACTGGGTCTCCTGACTCTAGCATGGATTATCGAGGTCCTGCTGCAGCTAATCTATCCTATGACATCAAAAAAGTGATTAAAAAGGAACATCAACACTTCCAAGACTAGTGCTAGAAGTTCATTAGACTAGACTGCATGGGTACAATAGGGATTTGCTCTGGTACTCTGTCTAATTATTCCTGATGGTTTCTCCTTCCTGTTATGAGCTTGTTTAGGGAGAAAAAGAGAGAAGCGAGAAAGAGGAGGGAGGAAGGGGGATGGTGAAGATTTGCTTAAATGGCTCACATCCTTGACAGTGCACAGACCTTGACTACAGAAAATAGCTGCTATGTTTCACTGATTGCATTATGTTGTTATGGCAACTGAAGTTTTTAAAATGATGAAAAGAAATGGATAGCACATAAAAAGCTAAGTAATTAGGCTTAATGGTGGAAACAGCCCCAACAGGAACAGAAATGCCATGGAGAAAAAGGAATCCATCTCTTAACTTCTTGAGTGTGCACTTTAAAAAGAAAGAGATCCCTTTACCATGGAGTCTCCTCTCTCAATCTGCCCGGTCCAGTCCAGGGAACAGCTGATTAATCCAGCCTTAGTCTGTGATGGAGCCATTTATTCCCCAGTCTCGGCATCGCTTCTGATGCAGAGAAAGGTGGAGCAGATACTAAGAACTGTTTCCTTCCAAGGACGCTGTTTCCCTTATTTTTCAGAGTGCTAAAGGAGCACTGGTGGGTTCCCTTCAACTCGCCCGCCCCAAAGCCCTTCCCTCGGCGCTGACAAGCCGCGACTCGACTCGCCGCTTTCCGCGAGACTTGCAATTGCAAAGCCATCGTCTCCATCAGAGAGCGCCCTGGGGTGCCGCGCTCACCAAGTTCCCGCGGGCTGTCACCACAGGATCCTGGTGTGCCCCGAAGAGGACACAAGACCACGTTGTGCTACACAGAGTGAAAAGTATGTCTCGAGAGACCCCGGCCATCCTAAAGCACTGACACTTGAAACAGGACAGGTGATAGAGGGGAAGCTGCTGCCCGGGAACCTGGAAGCTGGAAGCAATCTTTGCAGGGGCAGGGGTCTCTTCCGAGGGGAAGGTGTACGACAGCAAACCCTCATATTCTGCCTTCCCGCAAGGACCCTGGAGAGTGCTGGATTAGAAATGGAAAGAGCAACAGCGCGTTTTAGATGGACAACTACTGTATGTGAAGAAAGATGTAGCAGTTTGGATATGGTGTTACGAAAGAAGAATATTAAGCCAATAAAAATGACGAATATTGCATCAATATTCCTCTCTCCTTCAGCAGAAATGCCTGTAATCACACATTTATGAGTATCCACACTGCTTGCCCTTTGCAGCTACCCTTGGCTGCCAGTTGGGAAGAGATATATATTCTTTACCTCTGACAGTTATTACATTTTATAAAGAAAAATCAAGTCACTAAAGAGTTTTCTGACAACTGATAAGGTCTAGCTATTCTTTTACAGACCCTTCCTTACATAAGTGGCTGAGCTGCTGAACTGGAAATACTTGCTCTCGGCTGACACTTGACATGGGAAGGCTGAGCTGCAGAACTGGAAGGATATATTTTTCTGTGTAATCCGTGCTATTTATTGCTTTAGAATGGGCATATTTTTCACCAATTTGATTGAGGGCTTGTCAAATCAGGGACCATGAGGAGCCTTCTCCTTCAGAGTGTTATAGCTCCTTGGTTACAGTAAGAAAATCAAGTAGAATCTATTTGTTTAAACAAATAAGTGACCCCAAACTCAAACCTTTCCAGAAAAAGGGACCGCAGCAGGGTATTAAACTCATTTCATGGATGGGGAACTGCCAAGGACCGGAGCTGTGGTCCTGCCAAGCCTTACACAAGTGCTCAGCACTACCAGCACGTGGCATCCACCGAAGGCGGCTGACCACTGCAGTAACAGAGCTAAAGCACACGGGAAAACATTTGCAGGACTGGGGCACGAGTGATCAGCCGCTCAGTTCAGCAGGCTGCATCATTTCAAGCGCACGAGAAGACCCACTGAAAGCGGCTGGAGTTTTGTCTTTAGGAAAGGTAACAGCTGAGGTTAATGTCAGAGCAGGCAGAGAAGTCAGCAGAGACTATTCACACATATTCACACATAAGGTCAGGGCTCGGCACCTGCTGTACCACAGCCTGCCCGGAGATTAAGGGTGGGAATTTCAAAAGCACCAAAGGCCCAACTCACGCTGAAAATCAGTGGATTCACAGCCTTAAAGATACACATTAAGCTGAAATGGGGGCTTCTGAGAATTCAGCCCAGAAGAGCTAGCATTCCCCCTTCTCCAAGCCCTCTTGCCAGCCAGCAACCGTCCTCCTTCCAGCTCCCTCTGGGGACTCAGCTGCTCTCTCCATCCCGCAGTAAACCAGGAGTTGTCTGTGTGAGGTCCAGGCTGATGTATCGCCTTCCCTGCTCACAAACTATCAAAACTGAGAGCTTTTACCTGTTGACACAGCACTTGCTTACTCAGCAAGCTTACTGTATTCCCATAACTCAGCCACAGCTTTTGGGGATGTTTGTGCTTACACAGAAAAATACTTTTAAAAGTCCTACCCCCTTCCTATTAAGCTCACTCCAAGCCTGGTAATTGCTTTCCCTCCTGCAAGCACAGGAGCAGCAGCATACGTGATTTAGTAGTGTTGAGAGTCGGCATGTGTTCCCGGTCAGCTTGTGTGCCTACCTGCATTTTGTGGCTAGGTGTATTTTAATTCTCCAGAGGGAGGGAGGGGGGAAGCTTGCCGAAGTGGCATCGAATCCATCCACACGGACTGAAAAGCAGTAAGCCAGGGAAGCTTTTTAACCCTCACTGGCTGGAGCTGCGTCCTCCCTTTCAGAACAGCAGCTGGAAAAATATGCGTTGCTTTGTAAGCTTATGATTAGTTTATGAGTGGTTGCCCATTCCCACCTGGTCCCAAAGGGCTTGTTCCCAAACTTGGACACAAACCAATTCATGTCTGTTCAACGTGCAGACACAGAGCATGACTGTGCCTTCCTTTCGACCACGCAGAAGCAGGTCTCGGGGACAGCTCTGTAACATACACCAGCCTCATGAGTGCACAGCAGAGAGACAGACGTGGGTCTGTCCCCACAGCAAGGAAAGATCTCAAGGAAAAGTCTCATAGAGGAAAAAGACAACAATTTATGCACAGGCGCTGGGCAAGAAACTAAGGTGGGTGTCTGAGATATTGTTAATGGAAAGGTGCTGAAGACAGATGTTGAGAATGAAAAGTGAGAGAAAATTAAGGAAAAGATGCTGAATTAGGTGTTAAAACAACATTGAAACCACCTAAATAGCCAAGGACAAGGAGAGGGACAACAGCTCTTGCAACAGTGCAACTTGAGATTGTTTCTACTTGCCGAAGGCCCAGCCCCAAAACCTGGTATGTGACAGCACTGCACGAACAGGAGATTTTTACCCTGAATATCTCCAGTTACACCAGAATCCTAGAAAAAAGGAAATGCTGTCCAGTGGGGGCAGTTCTACAGCGTGTGGTTCACCCCAAGAGATACAAACCTCTCGGGGTGGCTGACGCTATAGCAGCAGAGGCTTCCAGTTCTCAAGGTCGCCGACACGGCCGCCTGGTTTGGGGGAAGAAGGCACCATCCCACAACTCGGCCTTTGAACTGGTGTACACAGACACCACGGCACGTTAGCTCTGCAGCCCATCACAAAAATTCCGCTCCAGGCCTCTGAAAACTTAGGAACATGCAACCTTCTCACTGTGCTGCTTCAGAATAACCCACCTATTCTAGGAAAGCATGGGGTCAGCCAACAAAAACTCACGCTACAACTGCAATCGCTCCCTTCACGTTGAAATCTTATGCCGTGCATAGCTCCGTGCTGAGAACATGCCCCTCTTCAGCTCAAGCTCCATCCCAACCTGTTAATCTGCTCCCACCTTCCTTGCGAATTTGTGATGCTGAGAAATATTTATCAGGTACTACACTGAGGCCATTTTATTAGGCTATACAGCAGGAGCTGTAGCTATTTAAGCCATATATACTGAATTGCTTAGCAGGTTGTAAAGGTCCTGCTGCTGAAGGTTTGCTGAGAGAGCTACTGTCTATCTCTGTTATTTTAAGTATTAGTTGCATGTCAGTGTGTCTTCTGGAGATGGAAGGCAGCAATCTTTTTACCAAATGACTGTGGTTAGTCAATGTATTGCTATGCAGAGTCAGTGCATTACTATGCACAGCATAACATAGCCACAATAGGCTAGATGTCAAAAGAGAATTACAAATGCTATTTTGACCCTCGCGCACGCACATCAGCAAGTTGGCAAAAACACCTGGCTTGTGCCTGCCAGCAATTTCTATCCATAAGGGGAATTAAAGTCCTCTGAAGTAGGCTCCACCGCCATTGCACGACGATGGG